AATTCTATTGTATTTGGTGTTTATAAGTCCTGCAGTTATCAATTGGTCTATATCGTCTTCGTAGGTGAATTTTACTGTGCCTTCCTTGATTTCCTGCAGAAGTCTGTCATTTGTTATTGTAGGTGGTGTGTTGACTGAGTAGAAGCGGATGCCGATCTCATTGCCTAGGTCTGCTGGCTGCACCTCGCTTGGTGAAGATGGGGGGGCACGATGGCCAGAGTGGGATTCTTTTCTTAATTTCGCTTTGGTTGGGTCAGCTTTTGCAGGTTGTGGTTTCTCTGTTTGCTGAGTTGTGGAATCTGATGATTTGCGGTGTGGTGTGACTGCTTGGGTGATAGGGTCTATTTCCATGACGTTTTCTTCTGTGCCTAGTTTGGTTATGTGCTCCTGTGGTTTGGTTACTCCCAGGCTACTCTCGGTGACAATTTTAAATATTTCTGTTGAGGGGGCGTCGTCTGGAAATTTTACCTCTGGCAGATTGTTTGCAGCAAACATTTCCCTAATCGTTTTTCCGAATGTTCCTGGTTTTGCAATGTTGTTAATGTGTGCATGTATAATACTGGTTAGAATCGTGAAAGGTAATCCTTCACTCAGATTGAGGTATGTCGGTTGCATGAGGGGATTTTCTTGGGTTTTCTTCAGGACTTTGGAAGTGGTATCTTGTAGCTTTGCAATTGCTGCGTATCTTTTGTTAGGGTCTGTTTCAATCTTCTTATTTGTCCTTTCTTTTTCTCTCAGGTTTCTGATTATTTCTTTCCTTATGGGACAGCGCGCTGCTAGTGTTCGGTGGTCCCCATTGCAGTTCAGGCATTGGGGTTATCTTTATTGCTGCATTCTCTGAATGTATAGCCCTCTGTTGCACATTCGGAGCAGAACTTCTTATCTTTTAGTGGACAGTTTACGGCTAGATGATTATATTTATAACAGTTCCAACACGGTGTTATTGCAAAAAATTCCTCCTGCTCAATTTGATGTTTTGTCAGATGGTAGTGGGAGATACAGAGGCCATTCTCTAGGGCTTTTTGTGCCATGGAGATCTCTCCAAACCTGACCTTCATCATGGTGGGAGCACCAGGCATTAGCACAACCTCCTCAACTCTGGCCCATGTGTTCTTCTCATCTATTTTATTGGCAATATTGCTTGGTGTTTGTTTCAGTATGTTTTTATCTACCCTTTTAATTACTATGGATTTTTTTGCTCGTAGTTGTGGTGGTATTATTATTTCGAATCCTTGTTCTTTTAATTTCTTTGTTGATTCGGCAGAGAGCATATTGTCTACATCTTTTTCTTCCAGGCACAGGACTATGTAGGAGTCCTATGTTTCTATCAATGCGGCGAATTTGATGTTTAGCTGGGCACACAGTAGTATACCCAGTTCCTCCTTGCGTTTTTCGGATACGCCCCCCAAGAGGGAGCGTACCCGTATCCTGTTTCCAGTTGTCCTAGTCATTTGCATTTGGTCGTTCTCCGTGGCATCAGTCTTGTTGTGGTTTTTACAGGCACCCTACCTATTCCGGGCGAGCAACCTAAACACAGGAATTACAGCACTTCCCACCGCCACTTGCTGGTCGAGTGGTCGTAGAGTGGTTCCTGTGTCACTCACCCAGGAGCCCCGTTAGGGGAACCTATATCCCTATTGTTTGAAATTGCTCACTTATAGGCGTGAGCTGAGAGTGTACCTATTCAGGGGAGGGGTGGAGGATTAAGGATTGCGACCCCCTTCCCAGGTGGACCCGCACGATCACGGTTTCCCAGGAAGGCTCGGCGGAGGGGTGGGTTCTGCTCCTACCCCCTTTCGTGTTCACAATCCCCTACAGTGGAGGTGAACAGTTACAGGGGGGACCCAAGAACGAATACACCTCTAGGGTGCAGGTTCCCAGGCCAGAGCGAAAAAGAAGGAAGATCAAGGAAAAACAGCCAATGGTGGGATCGCGTCCCAAGTCCGCTGCAGAAAGCCGTTACAGATCTCCCAATCAGGGCCGCCTCTGATCAGGAGTCACCCCTGATCAGTAGGGAGGCACAGAAAGGGCGTTGTCTGGAACGAGCTTCCCGGTTGTGTGAGTAATGGTGGTGAGGTGGTCGTTTTCGTTCGGGTCGTCAACGGTTAAAAGACAGGCTGGCAGGCTTTAGCAGTGAAGGGTCAGAAGAGAGGTCCGTTCACGGCGAAGGCTGGCTGGCGAATGATGTTCATTGAATTGAAGAGGCAGGTCTCCACGAGGTCAGGTCTTAAATAGCTGGGGTAGGCGTGGCTTAGTAGTTGACCCCCGCTCCGTGGTGTATGGCGGCGCTGGTTGACCTAGACCACGAGGCATACACTGGGGAATTGGTGGGGTCGGCTACTCAGCGACAAACAGCGTTTGTAGGGGAGAAATCCACTATAATCCCTCAGGTTGAATGTGGCTCAAATAGCAATACAACAAAAAATCTACATTATCTTTTATGCCAATGCAACGTTTCATACCATAAGAAAATTTCAACAAAAGCTCAGATTATTAAGTTGAAATTTTTCGATTACCACAAAACCTAATTCATACCATAAGAAAATTTCAACAAAAGCTCAGATTATTAAGTTGAAATTTTTCGATTACCACAAAACCTAATGGGATTGTAATGGATTTCTCCCCTACAAACGCTGTTTGTCGCTGAGTAGCCGACCCCGCGAATTCCACAGTGTGTGCCTTGTGGTTTAGGTCAACCAGCGCCGCCCTACATGACGGAGGTCAACTACTAAGCCACGCCCACCTCCGCTATTTAAGACCTGACCTCGTGGTGACCTGCCTCTTTTCTACCGACACCAACCAGCAAGCTGCCTGGCGGCCCTCGCTCCCGCCGGCGAGCATGGCGACCCACAAGCTGTCCTCCTTTAAGCATCCTCACCAACCAGCTCTCTCTACATCACGCTTGTAACCACGC